AAACTCCTTCTCCAATGAGGAGAGGTGCCATGCTGGACCTTGTTTTCGTCAAGGAGGAGGGGCTGGAGGGGAAGGTAAAGCTCAAGGGCAGCCTTGGCTGCAGTGACCATGAAATGGTGGAGTTCAAGATCCTCAGGGCAGCGAGGAGGGCGCACAGCAAGCTCACTACCCTGGACTTCAGGAGAGCAGACTTTGGCCTCTTCAGGGATCTGCATGGGACAAAGCTTTGGACGGAAGAGGGGCCCAAGAAAGCTGGTTAGTAGTCAATGATCACTTCCTCCAAGCTCAGGAATGATGCATCCCAACAAAGAGGATGCCAGGAGGCCTGTATGGATGACCAAGGAGGTCCTGGACAAACTCAAACACAAAAAAAAAACCTTACAGAGGGTGGAAGCAAGGGCAGGTAGCCTGGGGGGGAAATACGGAGAAACTGTCCGAGCAGCCACGGATCAGGTTAGGAAACCTAAAGTGCTGATAGAACTAAATCTGGCCAGGGATGTCAAGGGCAACTAGAAGAGCTTCTCTAGGTATGTCAGTGATAAAAGGAAGACAAGGGGAAAATGTGGGCCCCCACCAGAATGAAATGGGTGACCTGGTTACCCAGGATATGGAGAAGGCTAAGGTACTCAATGACTTCTTTCCCTCAGTCTTCACTGGCAAGTGCTCGAGCCACAACACCCAAGTGGCAGAAGGCAAAGGCAGGGACTGGGAGAATGAAGAACCACCCACTGTAGAAGATCAGGTTTGAGACCATCTGAGGAACCTGAAGGTGCACAAGTCCATGGGACCTGATGAGATGCATCTGCATGTCCTGAGGGAACTGGCAGATGAAGTGGCTCAGCCACTCTCCATCATATTTGAGAAGTCCTGGCAGTCCAGTGTTCTCACTGACTGGAAAAGGGGAAACATAACCCCCATTTTTAAAAAGTGAAAAAAAGGAAGACATGGGGAAATATAGGCTGTGCAGTCTCACCTCTGTACCTGGCAAGATTATGGAGCAGACCCTCCTGGAAACTATGCTCAGGCACATGGAAAATAAGGAGGTGATTGGTGACAGCCAACATGCCTTCACTAAGGGCAAACTGTGCCTATTAAATTTGATGGCCTTCTATGATGGCACTACAGCATTGGTGGATTAGGAAAGAGCAACTGACATCATCTACCTGGATTTGTGCAAAGCATTTGACACTGTCCCACATGGCATCCTTGTCTCTAAATTGGAGAGACATGGATTTGATGGATGGACCACTCAGTGGATAAGGAATTGGCTGGATGGTCACACTCAAAGAGTTGTGGTCAACAGCTCGATGTCCAGGTGGAGATCAGTGACAGAGGTGTTCCTTGGGTCAGTATTGGGACTGGTGCTATTTAACATCTTTGTCAGAGATGCACATTGAGTGCACCCTCAGCAAATCTGCTGACAACACCAGGCTGTGTGATGCGGTCGACACGCTGGAGGGAAGGGATGCCATCCAGAGGAACCTTGACAGGCTGGAGAGATGGGCCTATGCGAACCTCATGAAGTTCAACAAGGCCAAGTGCAAGGTCCTGCATGTGGGCCAGGGCAATCCCAAGCACAACTACAGGCTGGGTGGAGAATGGGTTGAGAGCAGCCCTGAGGAGAAGGACTTGGGGGTGTTGCTTGATGAGAAGCTCAACATTACTGAGCAGTGTGCGCTTGCAGCCCAGAAAGCCAACCGTCTCCTGGGCTGCATCAAAAGAAGCGTGACCAGCAGGTCGAGGGAGGTGATTCTGCCCCTCTACTCCACTTTCATGAGACACCACCCGGAGTACTGCATAGAGCTTTGGGTGCCCCAGAGGAAGAAAGACATGGAGCTGTTGGAGCGAGTCCAGAGGAGGGCCACAAAGATGATGAGAGGGCTGGAGCACCTCTCCTATGAGGACAGGCTGAGAGAATTGGGGCTGTTCAGCCTGCACAAGAGAAGGCTCCAGGGAGACCTGTGGATGCCCCATCCCTGGAAGTGTTCAAGGTCAGGTTGGATGAGGCTTTGGGCAACCTGGTCTAGTGGAGGGTGTCCCTGCCCATGGCAGGGGATTTGGAACTAGGTGATCTTTAAGGTCCCCTCCAACCCAAACCACTTTATGATTCTATGATAAAATAGGAAAAGTTAATCCAAATTTACTCACTTTCCCAAAATCCACCACACATTATTCAAGGAAATGGTTCTGGAGGAGATTTTATATCAGAAGTAATAATAAAACAGGGATATATAAAACTTAAATAGCTTGGGTGAGTCTGGAACCTAGTGCTCCTGTTGCAAGCTTATATAAAAACTTACAGGAAGCACAAAACACAAGACATAATTTATCCGTGTATCAGCCAAAGCATTCAATTCACTTCAGATGGACATTCTTGTTTGCCTTCAATGGCTTTACACAGAATTTTTTTTTAAAAAAAAGCTCTGATCTATGGCTGACTAAACACATAATTAAAGTAGGCAGAAATGCAGTGAGAAGCCACCACAACATCAGGTGAGGAGTGGGGGTAGGTTGGGAGCCTACCCAAGGGAGGGAGAGGAAATGCCAAGCTCCTAGTCTGGAGGGTACAGCTCTGCTTTCCACTTATTTTGCCTCCTGGTCACTGGTGGTAAACAGTAATGTCATAGATGCAGTGGGATATCGGTAGTCTTACATCTTTGCATACGCAACCGGTTGCAACTGCACAGTATCTCTGTACAGGGCTATGCATAAAAGTCTCAGCTAGCTCAATATTTTCATATGGGCTTTTCTAAACTTTAACTGTAGAATACATTTTCATACGCATTTCCATGGATTTCAGATTTTGACATCCTTCTTTCTTTTTACTGAAAAAATTTCTGTTACTAACTATCCATCAGTCATCACTGTATTGGGTTTGCGTGGCAAGGTTCTGGTAGCAGGCGGGCTACAGGGGTGGCTTCTGTGAGAAGCTTCCCCCATGTCCAACCAAGCCAATGCCAGCCGGCTCCAAAACAGACCAACTGCTGGCCAAGGCACAGCCCATCAGTGATGGTGCTAGCGCCTCTGGGATAACATATTTAAGAAGGGGGAAAACAAACCCCAAACAAAAATCCACCAGGAGCAATTGCAACTGGAGAGAGGAGTGATAATATGCACTGACCTTGGTGTCTGCAGGGTTGTTTAAGGAGGGGGAGGAGGTTCTCCAGGCACCAGAGCAGAGTTTTCCCTGCAGCCCATGGAGAAGACCACGGTGAGGCCGGCTGTCCCCCTGCAGCCCATGGACATCCATGGTGGGGCAGATATCCACCTGCAGCCCATGGAGGACTCCGTGCTGGAGCAGACATGTGCCCGCAGGAGGCTGTGACCCAGTGGGAAGTCCACACTGGAGCAAGCTCCTGGCAGGACCTGTGGCCCCATGGAGAGAGGAACCCACACCAGAGCAGGTTTGCTGGCAGGACTTGTGACCCCAGGGGGGGACCCACACTGGAGCAGTCTGCTCCTGAAGGTCTGCACCCCGTGGCAGGGACCCATGCTGGAGCAGTTGGTGAAGGACTGCAGCTGGTGGGAAGGACTCATGATGGAGAAGTTCATGGAGGACTGTCTCCTGTGGGAGGGACCCCATGCTGGAGCAGGGGCAGAGTGTGAGGAGTCCTCCCCCTGAGGAGGAAGGAGCAGCGGAGACAACGTGTGATGAACTGACCACAACCGCCATTCCCCATCCCCCTGTGCCGCTGGTTAGAGAAAACTGGGAGTGAAGTTAAGCCTGGGAAGAAGGGAGGGGTGGAGGGGGGGAAATGTTTTAAGATTTAGGGTTTTTTTTTTCCTCATTATCCTACTCTGATTTGATTTGTAATTGGTAATTTGATTGGTAATAAATTAAAATCAGTTTTCCTGAGTTGAGTCTGTTTTGCCCATGACAGTAACTGCTGAGTGATCTCTTCCTGCCCTTACCTCGACCCACAAGCCTTTTGCTATACCTTCTCTCACCTGTCTGCTGAGGAGGGCAGTGACAGCAGCTTTGTGGGGTACCTGGCCTCCAGCCTGGGTCAGCCCACCAAAAACACTTAAGCAAACATGTCAGTTTGTGGCTATTTTGGTTCTGATATTGTTTCAATCTATGGAGAATGAGACATCTAAAATATTGTCTCGGCTTATGATAATATATGTAACTTGTGTGACTTTCCACTATAGACTTAAAACCACATATACACAAATAGCAATTTAAAGTAGTTGAGTACCACTGACTATTTATAGACATGTAGTCCTTGCCATGAAAGACACCTTAAGCTTTGAGGTTGCTGAGGCTGCAGAGGCAACTGTGTTTTCCACTAAATGGGCTTACTCTGGGTTAATATTTTAAAGTTCTTTTTGAAACCAACGTTACTAGAAAAAATATTTTACTAATTACTCATCAAGCTCAATGTTGCAGCAACAGTGGATTTAACATCAAATTTTATGGCTGAAGAGATGCAGCAGACACAAGGCATTTGCTAGGATTGTGTTATGATATACATCTGAATATGCCATCCCTTGAGAAGTGAACACAATACTATATCAGAGACAAAATTATATAAATTTAAGTTCACTTAATTTTAATATTCATAATTAGAACTTCCCAGCCCTAATCATTTGTTTTAACCTCAACAATGTTAAAATGGAAAAATATCCCACATTTATGTAATGTGTAATAGAGATGCTATTGGTAAAGGAATGAATTAAATGAGAGTTAAAATTTTACAGAAATTGTAAATCTGAAGAAACTGGTGTATTGGACATGAAAGCAAAAGATTAACAGAAAGAAAGACTTCAGACTGCATCGTGTAAAGGAAAAAAGCCTGAACCTTGACATGCATACATCTTTAGAATATTTTCACTTTCATTTTAATAATGTAAGTATTTACTAGTAAAAAGATGACTGTAATATAAAAAGGAATTAATTGGAATGCATTGAAATGAAATTTGGAATTAGAAAAATTAGTTGTAATATTTTTTCCTTAACTTTTTAACTGGACATTTAACAAGGTGTTCAAACTGCTTACCATTTGCCTTGTTCATTTATAAACTGTTGAACGGCATATCCAAACTGCTCAGTTGATGGACCGGAAAATATTTTTGCTTCTAGGAGTCCAACATTGTAGGCTTCACAGCAGTTGTGAAGAAAGCCTGTTAACAGAAAGATTATGATTATCACAGAAGCAATTAGAGAAGAATTTTGATCCCAGTGAAAAAGGCTCTTCATCTGTGCCAGCTCCCCCAATAGAAGAAAATTTAGCCTTTGACATGTGCAAGAAAATACAGTACTCATCTGCCAATGTGTAATGCCTGTCTAACACAATCTTTACAGGTGTTATAATATTGTGGGCAGAGATTAAAGACTCATTCACTGTTTGCCTTAACAAAAGTTGCAGCATTACTAATGGGAATGTTTTTAGCTTACAGGAGGGAAGAAATATGACTCAGAGGTCTGTTATCCTTTACCTGAAGGCATAAGTTATGCTTATGGCACAGCAAACGCATCAACACCCTGCTGAGATACATCAAAATGAAAGTGCACTGACTGTAACTGCTAATATTGTTTATATTCTAGTGTCTATCTTAATGTTTGAAGCACTGGAACAAAAAACAGATTATCTACTGCATCAGAAAATCTACGTTTTTGAGTCATTGCATTATCACACCAGAAGCCTTTGTTTTCAGTCCAAACAGTCTGAACAGTTGTCCAAACAGGAAAGCTTAGAAATACAAACATGCAAAGTAGAACTGCGTTAAGAAATCACGACAATTAACACTGAAACTCCACTTTGCTGTGGTTATGGTATTAATTGCTTTTCCTTGGGCACTTGCGTGCCTAGGAATAAGGGTATGCCTCTCTATGCCATTTTTGGGGGGGAACTGGCACTGTGGGCTGGGGACAAGGTCCTAAGTGTTTGCAAGGCGTGGGGGCCCACCCCTCATTCAATAAGGACCTGCTTGCTTTCTGATCAAGAGCTGTAAGTGGACATCTAGGAGAATGTCCACTACAAGAGCTGCAGGAAAAGGGACAGAGTCCCCTAATAACCAGGAGTAGATAACTCCTCCTGCAGCTTGGAGGTCGTAGGACTGAGACAATGGTGAGATCCCAGGAACAAGCTACAGCCTGGCTGAGGAACACCACAGGGCTCCTGACAACCCCCCAAAAATGGCAGTGGCAGAAGAAACCGTGACCTGTGGTTGCATGATGCAGCTACTGCCCAAGGTTCCCAGGTGAGGCAGGTTCATGGAGTTGCTCACGGGTTAAACAACATCTTTCACGTTTCCCCTCCCTTCCTGTGTGCCCAGAGTGAGTTTTACCTGCTCTACACACAAAATACGCCTCACCGTAATTATTTGGTATGAGTCATTGTGTAGTAAAGTGGCAGCCAGTATGATAATACCTTATAACAGGGTACCTTTAAGGAGATATATGCTGGCATCTCAAAAATAGAAGCTTAAATTCTAAGCGTTTCTCTAGTTTTGATGGGCAGAGCACTTGATGGTGTCACTCTTTTCCAGGTCCCAAAATCAGCTTTGGAAGAGAGGTTAACAGGGATTATATCAGCATAAAACAGCCATCACAGTAGCTTAGCTGTAATAATAATAACATCATAGTGAAAATACTAGAATCATAACCACAGGTTTGCAGGCAAAGTTCATGACACATAACAAATTTAAACTAATTTTGTACCTTTGCCCATAGAATAGAAAACACAAATGATACTAGCAGAAGACTAAATACAACTCACACAGTTACTACTTTTTTTACCGTGAACTCAAAACAGGAAATCATATATTACTTATTTCAAACAACCACTATCTACAGCTGTTCTCTGTAAAGCAAGCAATTACCCTTTGCTAAAAGTATAGTTCCTTGAGAAACATCCTTAGAGATAAATATATTTCCTGAGTCATGTTTTTTAAGATTGGAAAAAAAGAATGTGTACAGACATATCACTCTGTGTTTTGCAGTACTTTTGACACGAAACACAACCACATATATTCATAGTTCAAGTCTGGGTTTTGGGGAAGGTGAAAACCCCATCTCTGAAGACACGCTGTCATTGGCAATATTCTTATGGATTAGCTTGCCTCTCACTCATGACTGCTTCACAAAATTGAAGCAGAAAAGCTAGCAAATGCACTCTTGACTCACCATGAACATTATCAAGTGAACCATAGTTTCAGCATATTTCAATCACAGACATTTTAAATTCCACATTTTTCTAATCATCAGAAGGTTTTTTGATTTTTAGATCTACTCCACGCAAATCTTACTTGGTTTGGGCCTAGCAAGTATATACTTGCAATAATATACTAAGGCATTTTCCTGCCATTTTTCACCATCTTATATATAGTGCTTACACTATAAGGACATCTTTTATCCATTTTGTACATCTATCTAAATGGAGTGTTCAGAACAAGAAATTCAAACATTTGTAGCCAAAAAAGAGAAAATGCTAAGTTTGCTTCAAACCTATTTTAAGCCTGTGCCAGAATAAGAGGGTCTCTTATGCATTAAAAGGGTGCCAATCATTGAAGCATCTAGGTTCAGAGTACTGTATATTCTAGGCTGGAAAGATTCAGTATCTGTTGCTGCCTTCAGGCACTGAACTTTGATAATTTAAGAATCTTGAAATAAAGAAAACTAATTCACTATCTGGATTTTAATAGCTTTTGGTGACAGACTTCTACTTTGTGACCTAACGATCACTAGGAGAGATTAGTCGGGCGAGTAATCACTTCCTAATTTCTTTCTGTAAATGGCACTTTATTTACAGTCAAATAAACAGACTGTATGAAACAAAGGAAGCCAGATACAAGCCTAAAGCTTCTGAAGGCCCCTCTGAAGACTTCAAAAGCAACAGTTTCTCTCTGCTGACAGGGTAGGGGGTTTGGGCACTTTGGTTTAAAGTGGACAGCTTCATCAAGCAAAGCAGCTCCCAACATAAAGCTTCAGACAAGAAAAGTTAGAAAAAAGTGCTTAATGGGATAAAAGGAACTGTAAGCTTTCCAATATACGCCACTTATCTCTTTGCATGTTTGTTTTTTTTTTTTTTTTTCCCCTGGGAATTCCCGTATTTCAGCAACTGCACTATTGCAGCATATACCACAGCAGCTGCAGCGTAGGAGTATACCAGCAGCTGCTGGTATACTTCTGCACCACCATTTTCTTGCTTCTAGTAGGATGAAAAATAATACATGTTCTGACTGTGCACCTTTAAGCCTGAACGTGTGGGAATTCTTCTGCAACTATAAATGACATGTCTAAAGATGACTATAATGCCTTCAGTTTGCTGCTGTTGAAGTGCAAGCTGAAGCAAGTTTACTGAAGTAATAGCTCATGTTAGGTACACCCAGTTCATAATTGTTTTGATTTTGTAAGCAAAGCTCACAGCTTAAAGCAAGCATGCAGAAAATATCTGTTGGATAATCGATCATTTGATGTCATGATTATAATAGTTGTCTGATTATAGGCTCTTATTCAGATTAATCAGTATTAAAAAATTGTTCAATTGGATGAGAAAAAAAGAAATCAGATTTTGTGTGTTTGATTACTTGGTTTGTGGCATAAGTTTATAAAAGTTTAATAAAATATACTAAAAATATTATTAGCCTGCATTTTGTGTCATAAGTGTCAATAAATGTGTCATTTTGTTTTCAGTCTATGAGTAAAATTGAATTTCTAATCACTTTATACTACATTGTAAAGATGACGCTCCAATTTAAGAAGGCAATATAAGACAGAATTCCATAATTATACAGACTCAGTTATAACAAGTCTCATGTCATTAAAACATCCATTCAAACAGAGGCATTCACTGCTGCCATTATTTATAGCTTGCATCAAACAGGTCTAGCAATCATGGTACAAAGAGAAAAGATGACACAATGGTGTTTGACCACTGAGTCTATAAGGATCCACCCCATGCTAAGCATTAGTTTTAAATTTATCTAGTATTAACCTTGCCAGTAGGAAACTTTACAATGAAGGAAACCTCATCACCTTTTTTTCCTTAATGGCACAGTGTTTGTTTCTTTAAGCAACTACAGGCTATAAAACAGAAGAAGTTTCTTATATATTCCAGCTAAGCAACCATTTGTCTTTGTGAGCAAGCATTCGTGCCAGTAACGATGCCAGGAGAGGGAACAGAGGGAGCCCCTGCGGCAGCTCCCCTCTGCTCCGCAGCCATACCCGCTGCCCCTGTGCCGCCTCCAGCAGGGCAGCAGACCCTGACAAACCCAAACCCATCAGCACGCTGTGGGATTTGGGGTGGAAGGGGTAAGTGTGTAGTCACTAAAGAAGAACAAAGCCGTGACCTGGCATTATGGTAAAACCAAGACTGTATTACATGCATTCTTGCATGGGTTTTTTAGTCCACAAATTGTTTTGGAAAAAAACATCAAGAAAATCCTACTGGATTATTGTCTGCTTCCTGAAGCAGTTTCATAGATTGGCAGCCAGTAAAATGTGTACAGCCTACAGTGCCTAAAGTACTCAGTGTAGCATTTTTTCAAGTATCTATTCTTTCCAGAAGAGGGCTTTTCTTTGCCCTTTGTTAATCTGCTCTAAGACAGTCACTACAAATTCCACTAAGAAAATTTTCCCCTTGGTCTCAAAGATTTCCTTCTCCAAAGAACGCACATTGGTAGGGCTCTGAAGCCTGTCAGACTGCTGGGGCAGAGAAAAGAAAAGGGTGGGAGGGATGAGAGAACTCGTAACTCTTCTTTTCCACTGGCTTTATCTCACAGTGGATTGACAACTCTGGTTCAAGCTTTCTCCATGACTGAAGGGCTCTCTTTGGGGTGGATTTTCTGGTGGTTTGTACTGTGCAAGGTCACACTGATTGCCTTAGATGTCAGGGAACTTGTAAAAGCACTTTCGTCTCACTCCAATATCCAATTGGTTGGTTTTTTTCATCCCTCAGCAAAAATTTTCTGAAATTGACTCACAGTTTCCAAAGTTAGTAAGGGAGTACAGGCACCTACAGATACTGCTCACACTATAGTCACCTACTGTCCTTGAAATATTAGGAAAAAGGTAGAATGAAGGCAGAAAGAGAAAGTAATGAAGTTAGGAAAGAGGGCAGTCAAGTAGTATTTGCTTCATAATGGATATATTTACTGTTACTTTACTGCTTTTTAATAAAAGGCAACAACATTTTGGTGTAAGAGTAAAATGACTCCCTTATTATTCAGAACCTATGTTATCAGAGCAATAATCCAACTGGAATTAGTCAACTATTTTTACAGAAAGAGCAACCCATAATTTGAACAGCTTTCCTAATAAGTTGTGTTTTGAAGGTTTTATTGACAAGACTCTGAATACATAAAGAAAAAAACAAGCAGCATGCAGTTACTTCATTCTATTGAACTGCAGCACAGATATTTTTCATTGTGGCTTCATTCTCATGGCAATGAGCTTGTTCAGGGAGCAAACCTGCCCAAAAAAGAAACCACTTTTTTTTTTTGCTAATGTATTAGTCTTCAGCCAGATCTGCTTTACTGTATTGGTACATGTGTTGTGTGCATGCACAGGTAATGACATCAAATCAAGTTCTTTTCCATGTAAAACAAATAATTCTATATTGGTTGCACTGTTTGGGGCTTTTCTGTAAATTAACATAAATATGAAACCCACCTTTTTGATATATCTTTAGTATACTCAGTCAGGGCTGTGTGGAATCCAATTCACTTAATGCAGGGAAAACAGAGGACTACTTATAATTCAATCTGGAAAGGTATATGAACCTTTAGCCAATAAGTCAATATAAATCAAAAGTGTTTTCTCCTGCATATTTACTTCTCTATTTTTTGTAACTTTTTCTTCAATATGCACAACATAATCAGTATATACTCACAATTGCAAGCAGATATCTGCAGCTTATGTACTGAAACAGCAGTTTTATAATCACAGTTAATCTATTCTCATTTTAAATCTAACATTTCTTATTGAGAACAACCTTCTAAATAAAACCAACATGAACCGTTGACAAGAATCAAAAGAAGCAAAGAATGCTATTGGCAAGACACTGGCTTTTTTTAGTAAAAGTTGTAGTATTTTATAATCCTCACTTCAATTACTTTGTTGATACTTCATTATGTTTACAGAAGCCTTAAAAGGCAAGTCTTCATCTTACTGCTTCATCTGTTTGTTTTATTTTTGTCTTGAGACCAACATTTTCATCACATCAGCTATAATATCTCAAGCTATTTAATAATTAACAGTGATTATAATGTTTAGTGTAGAAAAAAAATCATAGGCCACAAAACCCCCCCCCAACAAATCCAAAACAAACAAACAAAAAAAAAAATCCCAAAAAACACCCAGAAGAAAGGAAAAACAATACCTCATTTAGTAACAAATCCTCCCTCCCTCCCGCCCCTCCTCCCCCCCCCCTCTCCCCTCCTCTCCCTCCCTCCAACAAGTTTTCTTGGCTTAGTTGGCCGACCGCTTCTTCCTGGAAGTAGGTCAGCTTCCAGCCTGAAAGCCTCAGAGTGTGTGAAAGCCTGAGTCACTGCCTTTCAGTTACAACTGTTTATGATCCAAGGAGCTGCACTGAAGAGTTACCAATAACCTGCTAAAAAGCAACCTAGACATGATACAACACACAAACTGTGAACAAAAAGTTGGAGAGACTGGGATAACATGACTAGGTGCTCTCTATTTTACTGTTCTGGCACTGCTGCAGAGTAAGAGATCTAATTAAATTTACTCACGACTGCATTAGTTACTCCAAAACACTTGTCTTTCTAAGTCTCTATTTGTGGCCCACACATTGCCCTCCTTGGCTCCCAGAGCAGACTAATAAGCTGCTCTTTATCTGGAGCTAATAAATCTCAACAACCTACTGTATACACACAAGGACTGATTCCAAAGTAATGCTTAAGAGCAGTTCCTGCAGGACTGACAACTTCCTATCTGTTTTTAATAAAGACAGCAAGTATTCAAGCCCACTCAAATTTATTATCCTGGCATGTTTCCATCACTAAGTTCAGTGGGAAAAAAACTTTCTTTTACAGAAAATTCACATAAATTGCATCTTTTTAATATATCCTGGAGGTTTTCATTTTATCTTGGTACAACAAACAGGATTGTTTCAACTGTGTCCTTAGCTAACCACAATTTGTTCTCAACAATACAAAAAAAGAGATTAAAAAGTACATGTTATATATGCAGTTAGGTCACTGGCTTTACAAGTGACGATGATAAAAAAAACTTCATGTGCTTCCCTATGATAACTGACTTTTCAAGCAGCACTTCACTCCAGCAAATTCTCTTCCCTTTTGTCAACCTTATCAGTTGTTGACCCTTTTTTTTAAACCAACAATATTTCCAAATATAGTCAGAGAAGCATGAGCCACATTACAACTGTAATAGAGGAAATGCATGTCACCACACAGAAACTGATGCAACTGCGATCTCTATACCCTATTTGCTGCTTTTGCTTTTTTCAGCTGCTATGAAAACGTGTTTGTACACAAATGAAAAGGCATGTTTGCACACAGGTATCAAGAAGATGGGAAAGCAACCAAAGGCATCTGTATTTCCTTATCCATATCACACTCTAGGCTATATGAAAATTCCAGTGTACTATAATGCATTAGTGTGTTATATCATATTTATCATTGTTAAATGTGACCTGAAACGGCTAAATTAGAAAAAGGCCGAGGGACACACCAGCTTCATCAGTCCCTCTGCTGCTCCAGTGCCACAGCCTGCAGTGGCTCGAGAGCAACCCTGCCATCACGCTGTCTAGGACACCGCATTTAGGACCCTGTTCCTCCCTCACAGTTTGTCAAAGCGTAGCTGGGAGCTCAGCTTTCTGCACTGTACGCAGACAGCCCCAGAAACAAGAACAGTGTCAGCTGTAAAAAGTTTGCTACATCAGCTTCCTGCAACAAGAAAACCTCTAAAGCACCACAGGATATATAATACAATAGTTGGAAGAGCTATAATTATCAGAACTTTTGTTTTCCTATAGCAGACTTAATGTCTGTTTCTCTCCCCTGATTGTAATGGGAGCTTGTAGCTTGGCAGCCTGAATGGTAGGTAGGTAGTCCCAATCACTCACCTGAAATTCCTCCTTAATGCATATTGAAGTGATCAATTCTGGCATCAGATATGTCTTAGGCAGAATTTGGGCTCATTAAAATTAGGAAAATGGTCCAGGAACCCCAGACTTCGGTAGCTGCCTAACCCAGAATGCTGTCACCTACGTTTCATAGCACAAAGTTGCATAAAAATTTAGAATGTGATACAGGTGTAGAAGCACCCCTAAGAACAAGGTATCCTACCCGACTGTAGGCCCACTCTGATATCATGGCCAGAGGCAATGAATGCTTACTGATTAAATAATTTCTGCTCTAAATAGTTAAATGATTTAACTAAATAGCTAAATATTTTTTTTTAAATGCACTGCCTGTTTACCAAATGTGAATTGCTTAAGCAGTCCAAAAGGGCCAAGTCAGAACTCCTCCTCCCAGCTAAATCCCCAGACGTTGTTAGGCCACAGGCAAGATGTGTCTTTGCTTGTCTGCCTGGAAACACGAACATGCATCTGGGGATGAGCTGAGACCTGGTTTCGGTAACAGAGGTAGAGAGTGCTCCCCTACTTTATTGCCTGGTACCAAAGATGCTTCTGGAAAAGTCTGAGAGGCAAGTCTACATCGCAGTGAGCCTCAAGGGAGAACTAAGCCCACGTTTCCCAGGTGACTATTGCCATCACTTCTCAGGCAGCTACTTGATAGAAAGCTGAACTGGACACCTACCTCCCAAAATTCTTCCCCCCACCCTTGACCTCAGGGAAGGAGGCACTTTCATGCAGGTGCCTGAGAAGAACAGAGTTCAAACACTCCCCTCGACTCCCTCCTTAACTGCAGGAGCCTTCCCGCTTTGCAAGCAAGTATTTTTCATGCACTTTAAAAGCACCTAAATGACTTTGCTGAGTCCAAGGTACCTAAACTTGCACTCTGGGGCAGGGGGACCAGGTTTCTGGTGAAGTGGGGCTGCAGGGTGCGCTCTCCCAGCCCTCAGCCTGACTCTGGCATATCCAGATGCCTGTGGTCAGGTGGGTAACAAGCTATCTCCAGTCAAAAGTTCAAAAAGAAGTTATCTTTTTTGTAAAATGCAGGCATTGTACATTTTGGGGTCAGAGAGAAGGGCCCATGTACATTTAAGAAGAGTTTTCTGCAGATAATACTTGCTTCCACAGAATCAGAACAGTTGCTTTTTGTCTTCAGAGAAGTGAA